ATCCCCCCCCCCCCCCCCCCCCCCCACACACACACACACCCACACACCCACATACACACACACACAACACCAACAACCGCGCAGGAAAATAGGTAGCTAATCCAGGGAAATAGAGGAGTGAATAAAGGCCAGCTGTGCTCAAATGAGTGGCTTGGGGGCGACGAAGCTGATGCCGCGGCCAGCGCCAAGGTCGGCCTGCCCAACCTCACTTACTAATCGACGGACCAAGTTGCAGTGAAATGTATCGCTCGGCTGAAACGTCGTCTTTCGCTCGGGACGATGTGGTTGGCCGGCGGCGCGGGGCTGCGTCCGGGGTTCGGGGGGCGCGAACATGCTACTCCCTCGCGGCTGCCGGCCGGAATCGGGGCGACGAGAGCGGGGTCCGCTTGGAGTAGCATGTTCGAGCACCCAGAACCTCGCCGCGGGGACCGCCTTGCGCGCGGGGGAGAGAGAGGGGAAAATGATCTCAGCTTCTGCGTGTTCCCGAGACGAGCGGGCTGAAGTTTTGGAATGCCCGACCCCGGATTCCCACTGCGAAGTGTGCTCAGTTTCTCTCCCCCTGGCCTGGAACATGCCAAACCCAGCATCAGAGATCGTGCGACCATCATGCGACGACGTCCAACCACTTCGAAAGTGGTTCAACAAGTTAAAGTTGCGTTCCGGCCGACGATTAGTAAGTGAACCTTGAGTAATTACCAATGAAATTCCCATTTCATGGGGATTACTGTCCATTGCATGGGAATTACTGGGAATTACTGCCCTGTATTCTTAGTTACCGAGGAATCCGGCGCTCATAAGGCCAAGTGGACGGAAATATACTATTGTACTACTTGTACTGTAAATCGTAAACATCTTTCGGGGTGGGGCCGGGATGTTAGAGTAATGCGTGTGCACGGCTTGGAAAGGCCGTTCCATTTCCTGCAGGTCCTGACGTGGCTGTTGTTCCCGACGTTCCTCGGCGTCTTCTACTGTGTTGTTCTCCCTCTCCTCTGGCCCTCTACCGCGATGGCGATCTCATGTGCCGTCTACACTCTCGCGGCAGCAACGTCGTGCTTTGCTGTCTGCCTTGCGTCCGAAATCCGCGTCTGACGCAACGATTTCGGCTATAATACTCTTCAGGTCTACCATTGATCCCCGTGATCCGGGAGTTGTCCTAGATCGATTACGGACACCAGCTCGTGTTGGACGTCGTTTTTCGAGTGGTTTTCGAGTTCAGGCTTCGTAGATGCAACTCAATACAGGTAATGCAGTATGTGAGCGCCGACCTTCGCATCTACCACAGCCAAACTGCTTTTGCTATCTCTGTCGGGTGAAGTATCTCAGTTTACACTCGGAATCTTTCCTCCCAGGTCGCTGTGGATTTGTCATCTAAGCACTGTAGATTCTGCGATAAATGTGTGCTTCGATTTGACCATCACTGTAAATGGCTGAACAACTGTGTCGGAGCTCAAAATTATCCTTACTTCATTCTATCTATTGTGGCGACACTCTGTTTTACATCACTTCAACTCGCACTGACCATCACCGTCGCCCACGCGCTTTTCCAACCGGCAAACGACTTGTTGAAGTCGAGCGTGTCCGATACCTTGGTTGGGCGGATTGGTGGTACCACCACGGTCAAGGGTGTGATACTAAGCAGTGTGATTGTCCTCATACCAATCGTTGTGCTTGTGGCTCACCTAGCGATTTTCCACGCGGTTCTCTTCAATCGAGGGATCACAACGTCACAGAACTCCCGCGTCGCCTTCGGCTGCTCGGACCAAACTCGTTCGGATTCATTCAAGGTACGATTACATTCTTGATCGCAACCGACGCTCAGCGACAAAGAGGTGCAAAAACACTCACCGTCAGTGGTGGTGTCAACATCGTCCCGCTATTTCTAGCGATGTTATCTCCCAGCGCTTCTCCAATTGCACCTTAAATGAACTGCATGATCTGCAGGAACGCTGCCTCAATGACTCCGAACTTTGTGCGATTGCAGATGCTCGACGGAGCAGATTCAAGGTGGCATCTCCGGAAGAAATTGCCCAAACAATTTTTTCGGACACAGAAAAACACGACAAGAGCGCCAACCTCGTTGACTTCGCTGGCGGCGCCTTTGCAGAAAGCCCGGATCCTCGGACTGACCTGCCTCTGGCATGGAATGTCCTTTCCGAACCACCTAGCGATGGTATTGATGCTGTGCGGTCACGGGGGCTATTCAGTAGCGCATTATTACCAGGGTCCACATGCAAAAAAACGCTGACGGATGCAAGTTTGCTGTAGGTCTGTGGTGGCGTTGACGATGCCGACACGGGCACTTTTGGGAGCATACCTGGGACTTTATGCGGAGAGTTTTGACTCCATCACGCGCGACTTGAATGCGAAGGGACTATCTAGCCCCCCTCGACGTGGAAAGTGGATTGGCTTCCGGTAGGGGCACTGGAAAACCACGGGTCCTAGGTCGTCGCTTCCAGCTGCGCAGTCCCGCGCGTTCGATAGCAGGCGCCTGAAAAATAACCATCTAGCTCCAGGCGGGGTTTGTAAAAATCGACGTGGATATCGTGCATTTAGGACCTCGAAAAAGTTTTAGTTTTCCCGAGCGCGCGCGAAACGCGGGCTCAGACAAGTGCCTGGCGCGACATGTTGGCTGGCGGGGGCGATCTGGAGTCAGTCCACATGGTCACGGAACACGTCGCAAAGTCACCAGACGAGCCAGGACACACTTTTAACCTTCGCCTCGTCTCCGGCTGAGAAACGCTGATCCCATCAACGCGGCTGCGGACTGCGCAAGACCCAGGGCCTGGGCCGAGGTTGCGAGATGATGTGCGTACTCGCGCCCTGCAAAGTCCTTTCTGAGACCGCGCGAAGCTGTCGAGGGGTCGACGTGGCGAATAGCAACACGCTTGGACTGCCAAGGCCCTGGGATAAAAGACCACCTGGGGCACCAGGAAGCTATCGCCGGCTTCTACTTGAGCGAGCACAACCCATTCGCCTCCAGTGCTAATCGGTTTGCCTTTGCGCTTTTGCGAAGCCATGCGAGGTCCTTGCCGATAGCTTTGTGGACGCTGCGATCGATGCCGACGTCGGCCCAGCACTTTCCTGGTGCGCCCTTCTGCCCGTCAGTCCATCCGACACGTCTGCCAAATTCGAAGAGTGCGGCACGCTTGCCACCATCTGGGAACAAAACATCGACGTGACCCTCGAGGAGACCATCCTCGAAGTGGCCTTCAAGACATACCCCATCCATCATCCGAAGCTCACCGGGTCCCATGCGTTTTCCGTTGACCCAGGCTCCAGTGTATTTCAGGGGACGATAGAGCCCGTTCAGTCCTCCAATGTACCTTCTATTGTGATCACCGCGTTCCGAAACGGGACATAATACCATCGTACCTTCCCCGGAGCGCCGTCCGTGGCACCAGTTTCCAACGTACTCGCGACCATCGATGCAAGTGTACGTGCCGTGTCCTATGGAAGGTGCGATCAAGGAAATGCAGTACATGGACCCGTGCATGAACCCCCTCCATATGGACACTGACCACAGAGGACCGTGGAAGACGCCATTTTGAAACTCTCCTTCGTAGCGACAGTACCCACGTCCCTTGTGCTTGAACTTCATACCACAACGGTAGGTTACGCCCAGCTGATTCCCCCACTGTTCCTTGCCCCAACCAGATTTTTGGTTTTGGCGAAACGGACCGGTATAGACCGATCCGTTCGACCCAATCAACTTACCAAGACCCTCCATCTGGTCATCAAGCCATTCACCTTCATAGCGATTCCCACTAACCCACCATCGCATGCCATACCCATTACGTTTGCCACTTGACGTTGAATGAGGCCGCCGGCCTTGATCAAGATATGCGCCTTCGTAGAAACCACCGTCAGACCAGGTGTAACGACCTCTCCCAAAAAAGGCACCTTTGAAAAAAAGGCCCTCAAATCTGTCACCATACCCATACCTGATGCACATATTCTGCCATTCCTAGTTCATAGAAGCCACATCTCAGACACTGAAAAGGCTCACATAACCACCCCACGACCGTGGGGCATGTTATCCTTCCATATGCCGACATATTGATTTTTATTGGCCCAGTGCATCATACCCTCGCCATGCATGGCGCCATCGATGAACGCCCCCTCATACGCAGATCCATTGGCAAAAGTTCGAGTACCAAGACCATGCATCTCTCCATGCTTATATGTTCCCCTGTAGGCGCCCCCTGTCTTATGCAAAAAAGATCCACTTCCGTGAAACTTTCCCCCGACAAGCTCACCCTTGTACACCTAGGAGGAAGGCCACGCTGGTGCACCCCAGGGCGTTTTGTGACGCGAAATCGCGCATCGCCGTTGGCGAAATTGATGGTGCCCTTGCCACTAATTTTCCCTCGACACCATGTCCCCGACAACTTATCGCCAGAGGCAGCCTGCAAGATTCCTCGTCCATGAAACCTAGGACCGTTGCCTATGATACATTCCAGAAACACATGCATGCGCGGAATTGTCTACAAATTGTCTTCAAAGTGGCCATCGTACACCCCTCCGTCATCGATATGATAGAGACCATATCCATGTTTTTGTCCACAGTCATACAGACCCTCGTAGCGCTGGCCACGATGGGGTGTCAGGGCCAAAGTAAAACCCCGCGTGGTAAAGATCCCGTTACCATGGAAGAGGTTATTCATCCACTCTCCATTGTAGCTGTCACCATTCGAGTACGACAGTGAGCCCCGCCCCTCCCTCCTACCATCAACAAACTCTCCCTGATACCTGCAGCGGGAGCTACCGGTCATCCCGGGGCGGCGCTATCACGGGATATGACTCGGCTTGAAAACCTGTCGTTGTTTGGATAGCGTTTGATGCCGACGCGGTAGATCCTGCCATCTCGGTGCACCATCTTCATGGCGACCACGGCACTACGTGGGGATATTATATCCGAGGGGTAGTGGGAGATACGAAAGGCCAAGTGGACGGAAACTACGAGCATTCTTATTCACAGATTGGACGAATGCCAATCCACAATGACATTTGTATCAGAAGAGAGAATGCTTCTCTTCGGGTTGGTACTTACTCTGCCGAAGCTTTGGGTCGCCGTACCATGCCATGCTGCGGTGTGCTTCTCGGGACACGCACGCTCGTTCATGCACCCACACGTACGAGAACATCTAAAAGAACGACTTCTGCAACGGCTCGAGTGTGAGACGGACGTCTTTTTCTACCTTGCTCTCGGGGAGGCGCACGGATCAGCGCGAAATGCATGGGATAATTTCACGCGGCAGCCCATGGTCGCGCCGGAGGTGGTGCGTGCCGCAGCATTGGAATTCGATCCGATTGCCATCGTGCTACACCGTGGGGATGCAGATTTTGTTTCACATGATTGCGGTATGGACGGTGCCCCGGACGGAGTATTCTCTCAACTTTACAAGACTGCCGCTTGTTTCAGTCTCATTGAATCAGCTGAGAAAGCGCGACAAGCAGCACATCATCTGCTCAGGCATAGACGCTACGACTGGATCGTAAGGGTCCGACCAGACCTTGCTTGGGTGGGACCCATCGCTCCCCTCGGTTCTTTTCGAGGAGACCGCATATACTTACCCGCTCACTTCTGGCCTATTGGTGACATGTTTGCGCTTGTACCCCGTCACCTGGCCAGAGACTATTTTCATGCCATTGACTCCTTTTACACGTGTAGGACATTGTGTTCTTGCGACACACCGTGGTATCTTGCAAATGTGCCATATCCACACGCACGATGGCGATAACATGCCTCCAACATGTAGGTCGGTGCGCCAGAAAGTCTTTTGTATAGGCATCTTTCTGAATCGGGCGTGCCGGTCCAGATATACGATAGCTTTGCTTTCGCTATCGTGCGTTTTTTTGAAGGTTACCGATTAAGTCCACTAACTTGCGGTTCCGGACCATTTTTTTTCTTAGGTGCCAATTGCCTGACGCTCCATTTGCTGCACTTCATCTCCTGCAACGTTCTTGCTGCCAGCAGTAGGATTGATCACGGAGAAAGGTGTTTGACTGCAATCGCAGATATCTACATGGCTCGTTGCAGGAGCGAATTTCCACCACCGGTTTCGCGCAGGATGTCATGTGGGACGCCTTTTAAAATTGACTTTCTGCTTCGTGAAAAGCACGACACACTTCGAGCACCACCACGAGATCTCAATGCGCAGCCACGGCAAGATTTGGCCATAACAACCTCCGGGTTTGATGCTCACAGAATCACCGGGCAACTAGCGTCTTGCTTTGCTTTGACTCCCCGTCATATCGAGGAGCTCGCAGTCTCCCTCTCACACTTTCTCGGCGAGCTCACTAGCATAGAAGGGGGAAACGTGCATCTGCTTGTCTCGCGACATAATCTCCAGTTCGCGACAAATCTTGTCTGGGACGGGCACAAAGGATATGCCCGCTGTGTACCGAAATGCCAGGTTGTGGACGTACAACATTATCTCAGCGGACAAATCTACAGGCCGCTTCAATTTTCATGCAGCGGACGCGCCTAATTCAGAAAAGGGGGTGGCCTGTCCTCCCGAGACCCGTATCAGGCGACAGACCACGAGACTTGATTGAAGTAACGTGGCTTAGGAAGTCCACTTTGCCGCAGGCAGCTCTGCTCCTCCACGGGGGTGATGTTCTTCACAGGAGGCAGATGGGAAAATATTAGCATGGAAGCGCTACTGAACGATGCTCAAGTGTTTGAGCACAAGATGGTCGCGGT